ATATATTATTATTATTATTATTATTATTATTATTGTGTGTATATATATATATATATATATATATATATATATATATATATATAATATCTTGTGTATGTATTTATGTATGTATTTATTTCGAAGTTGTATACATATACCTTGTTTTTATTTTTAGAAGTAAGACTACAACACGAGCAAATGTTAATTGAGTGTACGTTTGCTTTATTTTTGGTCATACATACAGTACCGATATGGGCCAGCGTGCCAAATGTTTGCCCCAGGCCTAAGCCCCCAACCACTCCAGAACCCAAAGCAGCACCCCCTAACATCCCAATGACTGCTCCACAAGCCCAAAACCTATCTGTGCGCAACTGGCCTTTGTTATGCCGTAATCTGTACACGCGGTCTTCTATCTCTTCAGGCGTTTCGAATGTGGATTTCTTTCCTAATCCCAGAGCGCTAGCGCCAATCGCACCGATCACACTACCAGTCATTGTCCATGTTCCGATTTTTGCACGTCTATGTGGTGAGGGACATACGCAATACTTCAGTATATTTGGTAGTATACCAAGCATGACAGACTGCTGTCGATAACTATTCATGCGGAAGTTTAATCCCCTGTGCTGTGGTCCACCGGTTGTACAGTTAAAAATGCTACAAACAGATGACACCACCCACATATGAACGTTGAAGTCGGTACACACGACGCATTCGATATAGGGACCAAAAAGGGTACCGACAAGCACCAACTTCATGTAAGACAGAAATAAGAACACGCTTATAAGCGGCATATGGTCGAGCAACAGCAGCTACGTTTGGCTGAACGCCCTACACATGTGCACCTTCTATCCTAAACCCCGGTCAGACCAATCCTATAGCGCAATTTGAAAAGCAATAAACGATCCCAACACACAACGAACACTCTGAAACAAGAACAACTCGCGACAATCAATGACAACGCACATACGAGGGCCATCGACCCGTGCGGACCAGAGCCACGGGCGAGACGACCAGAAGGCCAAGCACGCTGCCGAGTTGGAATCCCTTGACGGCTATATGTGCCATCAGCTTCTCTGTAGCAAACTGGCTGTCGTCAGCTAAAATATCCATTGTTTGTGTTGTCCTGTATTTGTCTGTGTACATCGGTAAGGATGACAGACGTGTATGCTGAGTGCGTCGATCTTATAGATGCGTCTCATTCGTGGTATCTAAGATTTTTCAAAAAGAAAGGACATCAATTTACGCACTCTCTAGTTACAATCGAAAAACAGAACCAAACCAAAATGCATGGGGATTTCCACATACTACACCCATGCCGGTGATAGTATGTTTGAGATGGAATATCCGCATACTTTGTGTCGCACCGTCAAAAACACATCTACGAGTGCTGCTCATATATGGGTACATTATAGTACGTGTACGTACCGCTGTGTGCACACATACTGGGAAACAAAGCCAATTACATGCCCTAATTACACAAATTAACTAAACAAAGAAGCCAATTTCATACCATAAAACACCCAAAGCTCTACGGCGACCGCAGGCGGATGGTGTACAAGTGGCATCTGATCAATAATGGATAGACAGCTGCGATATGTCTACTCGACCTCAACAGACATGCACATATATACCCAGTTACATGCACATATATACCCAGTTACATGCACATATATACCCAGTTACATGCACATATATACCCAGTTACATGCGCATATATACCCAGTTATATGAACATATATACCCAGATACATACACATACAGACCCAGTTACATGCACATATATACCCAGTTACATCCACATATATACCCAGGTGTTCTACCCACACATAGGTGCATGCATACTGGGGTATTGATATAAGATCTTATCTGGAGAGAGAATATACACACCAGCAATTCAAGTGCATCAGTGTTTTTGTATGCCAGCAACTACTATTTTAGATAGAGATGTGTACTTAGTTCTAGGCGAGACGTATAACACTGTCTACATAGCCACTATGTACGTATTTATGTATATATATATGTATATATGTATGTATGTATGTATGTATGTATGTATGTATGTATGTATGTATGTATGTATGTATGCGTGTATGTATGTATGTGTGTATAATGTATGTATGTATGTATGTATGTATGTATGTATGTATGTATGTATGTATGTATGTATGTATGTATGTATGTATTTATGTATGTATGTATGTATATATTTATATATATATATATATATGTATATGTATATATATATATATATATATATATATATATATGTATGTATGTATGTATATATGTATGTGTATATGTCTGTATGTATGTATTTGTATATATATATATATATGTATATATATATATATATATATCGATTAAATTATCAATAACACCATCCATATCGAATCACAGCGCTGGAGACTGAACACTTTCCGAATGTATGAACACTCAAATACCACCATAGCAAAAAGAATCTCGTTAATACCTAAAAGCTACACATAGTGCACATACCAAAATTACGCGAAATCAATCCAATTATTTAAAATACTATCCTAGTCAAAACGAATACAAACATTTGCATTAGTGACATTTAGTACAACTACGCCGGCTCGTTTCGTAAACGTTGTTCAAAATACGAGCTACTTATGAAGATATGTACAACCAATTTATTCACGTATCCCTTATTTAATGTATTAGAAAACTCTCCAAACCGCTTGTGCTTTCCCGTGCTATTGATAGTCACAACGTTGACAACGAAGTCGTTCCCATTGCGTGATTCCGTTCATGTATTTGTCATCAATATTACTATCCTCTAGATATTGATTAAATATAACAAATGCTAATAAATGAGCACACCAAATAGCCTTTAACATACAATGATCATCGACATTATATTCTAGAATAAAACCATGTCTCTGTGTTGTTGAACAGCCAATGTATGCGTAGAATGTAGCACATCACGCACACACTCTAGTCTTACCGATCACTAACGTACAGTACTCGTCAGTTCGGCTACACGCGCTGTAGGGTGGTTGAATACTTGTGCTACTTCGACTTGTTCAGATTGGCGATGTGATGGTGACAATGCACCCGATCGCGACCAAAGTAGATACAGCAATAGACTACTAGAATACTACTAGCGAGTCAATTGTCTCTATCTGGGGTTGGTCTACTTTATCAATTCACATTGTATATTTATTACATACAGATCACCTTTGCGGAAATATGAATACATACATAAAAATGTATAGAATTCCATTCTATTCTTTTAACTATTTTTGTATATATATGCCATATATCATGGCCAACTGGAAAACCCAATCAGTTGGCCGTGTATATACAGTCTACTCCTGAAATACAACCTAATCAAATTTCTTTTATCACCATGAGCAACACAAGCAAAGCCAAAGCGTCCGCCGTAGACTCGCTTAGAGCCGCCTGTGCGGACACCGCAGCTGAAGCACAACGCGCTACCATAGCAACGGGGCAGGCCAGTCGAGTGTATGGCACCAACAACAAATACCCCACCAAGAAAGCCGCGCAGGAGGCTAAGATAGCTGCGGCCAAGGTGAAACGGGAAGCCAAAGCTATTGCCCAGGCGAAGGCGTGAGATACAGTTGAGATGTCCTGCTATGTTCATTTCAGGCTGGTATGTACGCATATGCGTATGTTGTATATGAGACTTTGTGTCTAACCCGAGGCATCGTTGTCCAAGCAAGCTAGCTGGGGGTACAACTTATGATGTATAGGGTATGGCACCAACAAAAAGTACCCGACTAAGGGAGCCGCGCAGGAGGCCAATATAGCTCAGGCTGAGACGAAGCGTGAAACTAAAGTCAATGTCCAGGCACGTAGTACTGCAAGTTCACGTAGAATTAGTAGTTCAGCGATGTTCAGCTCCCCCTGCAATTGGAGCCTATATTTCCAACCCCAGGCGCAGTTTGTGCCTGTGAACCTAGTACAATACAGCGTGGCCAACTCAGTGTGGTATGAAGAATGTGCTCCGGAGCAAGCCAGTTATGTGGTGAGGGGTACGACGCAAATATCAGGTATTCTCCAAATAAAACTGCCTAGGTTGCGACGTTCGATGCAGGTGTTTTGTGCAGACAAAGTGGTGCGGGAGGACATTGTACAGACTATTTTGTAAGATCATTTGCCAACTAACCATAACATGCTCAATGCGATCAGAACAACGTGTGTGATCTGATTTCTTTATAGAGATGTCGTCAGATAGTTGCCATAGAAAATCAGCGGGGTGCGGCTGGGTCAAGAACATATA